AAATGCACGATGATGTCCCGGTTAAGGGATTCATGCATTCCTTGCTGCCTTATCTTATGCTGAGATTAGTAACATAAACTTGTTAGGGAAACCAGTACTCAAAAGTCGGTAAAAGACCGTGTTGCGGAATTAGAGACTACCTACCTCATCAGGATTAGGTACTTTTGACATTTCCATCACGGTTGCAACATCTCTCTTGGTGAAAAGTATTGGGTGTCTTTGCAAGATGGCACAATAAGGGAACAATTTCTGGGTCATCCACCAGTAAACCAGCCAGGGCATATGGTGTGCTATACTAAGTTTCACCTGATCTCTTTTGAGCTGGTTCCTGAAGACTTCATTTGCGAGCTTGGGAGGAAAAGAAGGCCACCAAAAATTGATTACAGGGACTACCAAAGTTGCACCAGCTATCCTGTTTCAGAAAGAGTTTTCAATATTCCATCCATTTCTTTTAAAAAACTCCAAATTGACATGAAAGGGGAAGAAAGCATGACGATTTAGAATAACATGCCTGTGGGGAATGTACTTGAGGCATGCCCAAATGGAATAAGTCCCAATGGAGACACCAATCACATAAAACTTGGCCCCTAATTGGAGCTGGTCAGCAAGTTCTTGAATATCAAATGCCTCACTCTTCACTGAGCGATTTGGGTTTGGATCACTCTCTCCATAGCCAGCTCTATCAAATGTTAAAACATATAACCCCATTTCTTCCATCACATCCTACATGTAAATAACCAGTTCCATTCATTAAATATTATTCTTGAGCCCTCATCTAACAACTTAAGCTTAATCTTTATATAAAAATAAAATTGCTCTCGACTGTGACTATGTTCTAAAAGTAGCCATATTACATCTAAACAAGATCAGACATAATTCAGTACCATCCGCAAGATCTCCAAATTTTTAGAAAGAATTAAATCTTCTTATGTAAGAACAAAGAAAGAAAAAATAGAGAATAATCTTAGTTAAGAGTAATGTATTAGCATACTTGAGAAAGCGGTAAGTATATGTCTTTGGAGCTGTCAAATCCATGAACAAGGATGACTTTGTATTTAGCATTTTCTTTGGGAACACCCCTTTCTCTGTATGATAAATGCCTTCCATCCTTGAGCTTAATTCTGGGCGATGTAACGGGAGGACCATTTGGTGATCCACAAACCTTTGGAGGCGGAGGAATGATGCTCCTATAAGCATAAACCAGAAAGCCAGCAACCAACACACTTGCTGCTGCAGCAAACATACTATACTAGCAAACACAACGAGGTAATCAGTTTTCAAGGAAATATAAGGAACAAGATAAATATTTTAACGAACGCATAAAATATACAGAGTCAAAAGCAAGAGAATCAGCAAAAGTAATCATAAGAACCATAATTTAAAGACAAAACCAAACGAGCATACCTGATTGCTTGAGAGATCAGTTCAAGTGGTCATAGAGCTCCATGTTAGCCTGAAGCCCTTTAATAGCATCTGTTCGGTACTAAGACTTTGCATATTTGACCAACAAGTAACGATTAGGAGGACTGTACTACCTAAAGTTTATATGCAGAATGTGTGGTTTGGAGCGAGGTTAGGTGAAATTCAAGGCCTGTTTGGTTATTTTCCCAGAAACAGTATTTGAGAAAACTGTATAAAAAAACAACTTAAGCTAAGTCCTGAAAATTGAATTTCTAGACACAAAAAACAAAGAGAAAGTAGTCGATTACATATTCATGAAAGAAACTTTCTGAGATTTTTTACTAAGAAATACTTTCCCAACAATATAATTGCATCAGGGGTAAAGAAACAAGGCTCTCAAAGTCAATGATGAAGCAGGATTGATTGTTAGATAGTTAGCTGCAACAAACAATCAAATGGAATTTCTCTGAATAAGTTGTATGTGGTCGCATTGTCCTATTTTCAAATCCTCGGATCTATGTAGGTTGATCAACGTTAAATCCATGCTCTAAACAGTCAAAGCAATAATATTTTTCTTTTCAACTCACGGTACTGGAATCAATCTACCTGGTGGTGACAAATTCAAGAGCCTTCCATATGATCCTAAGGATATTGTTTGGGTTTGACCTTTTCCTACAATCCTTGAGATGGCACCGTTAATTGGCAGCCTGAGGCATATCAATTTGGACACAAAAGATAGAATAATATAATATATGATATCTTCAAAGAAACCTCTATTTTGTATGTCGTTTACATTACTAGACGATGACCAAACAATCCATGGAAAGAAAAAGTTGAATAGTTCTCATAGCAAACAACTAGACATCTCATAATACGTCTAATTTGAGAGGGGCTTAACTCAGCAAAAGTGCCCGCAAAATAGCTTCACAGTTTTTGCCGTCAAAAAACAAAAGATGCCCAGCATTAGGAACTTCGTGATATTGTATCCATGGAAGCTTGTCTGATAAGTAACGGTTTATTTCTAAAGGAATGATTCTGTCCTCATACCCTTGCCAAATATGCACTGAGCCCTCATTGTCAGGGAAAGGATTTTTTAGATCCATGGGATCAAACTCCCATTTTCCATAACTGACCATTATGTCTCGACACAGGGATTCAAAAATACCTTGCTGTCTAATCTTATCCTGCCGTCAGAAACATAGGTAAGAAAATCAGTCAAAGTCCATGATGAAACTGACCAACCTTAATTTAATCTAAGAAACTTAAATTACCAAAGACATTGCTATAATATCAGACATCTTGTTCAATATGTTAGCTCAAAACAGGTTCTCAAAATCTAAATCATGGTTAAACCATTAAAGGGAAATCAGAAATATGCTAATGGAAGGAAATTTGTGTTGCACTGAGTTTGTGATTTTCAGCTGCCATCAGTTGGACACTGAAATTCATCTCCCTCAAAAATAATAACTCTTGAATTCTGCAAATGTATTTGTAGCAATGTAGATTTCTTCTAAAAGGGGTATATGCAGAACATTTAAGGCTGACAGACAGAACTACCTGGCCATCAGGTGGGGCTTCCAACCACTTCTTTATAATTTCCATATCAGGATTGCAGAAAATTGCCATGTTTCCAGTCATGATGCTTAATGATGGGAACACCTTTTGAGTCAACCACCAGTAGAATAACCAAGGTGTGTAATGAGCAACACGGAATGCCCATTGGTCCTGCACAAGCAGCTTCCGAATGGCCACTCTGGATAAATTAGCAGGAAGACACGGCCACCAGTAGTGGACAAATGGAACTACCAGGGAAGCTCCTAATAACCTGTGAATTAGAAAAAGGGCCATTATCAGACTTTCTCCCCTTCTTCAGTATAAAGCAAGGATTCAGAAATGTTAAAGGAAGAAAATGGTAGACGATAAAGCTAAGTTAAAGCATCATGCCTGTCTGGAATGTATTTTAAACAACTGTAAACAGGGTAGGCTCCCATCGAGATTCCAATTACATAAAACTTAGAACCAATCTGCAATTTGTCTGCTAGTTCTTGCACATCATAGGCTTCACTCTTCACCGAGCGTAATGGATTTGGATCACTATCTCCATAGCCCGCTCGGTCAAAGGTCAGGAAATATATCTTGAGCTCCTCTATAAGTTCCTGAAAAATCAAGCATAATGATGAATTGACAAAATTTCTAATCATATCAACCATCTCAGGTTTACTGAAGAGGATAGATGAGTAAAAGATGCATAACATTCAAATCATACAATATAAACTTAATATCAAGGTTATATCTTTAAGATAGTATTAAGCTAGCCAAAGCCAAATGGTAGCTCTAATCTGTTGACCAGCTAACTAGATGATTGCTTTTTCTCTGCCAAAGATATATAAATAAATTGCCTATCATCTTCCAACATCTTGTACAGGCCGCAATCACATTATATATGTGCACGCATGTGTGTGTTCAAATGTACATATACATATATATATATATATATGTCACATAAAAGCTTAATTAGATACATATCCGTTGCGATACAAAGGCCAAATGTGCAAATTGCCCCTCAAAATTGTATCACCTTCCAAAAATAAATGTTGATACAATTTGCCACCCCAAATTTCCATTTTCAAGAAATTGGCTCAAGTTTAACTGTTACTATTAAACATACTCTGTTAAACTATTGTTTTTGAAGTCTAACAGAAAGTTAACAGTAATTGTTAAATTTGAACCAATATTTGGGATGGCAAACTGAGTCAACATTTTTTTTGGGTGGTGATTTGCTTCACCGCAACAATTTTAGAGGGGAATTTGCACCTTTCGCTTGATACAAACAACAAAAATTTTGATTTGTGACTCTTAAATTCAAAATAAACACACTAAATCAGAACAACAATTATGAAAGAACTTATGTTATGACGCAGAGATTTACAAGAAGCAAAGATCATACTTGAGGAGCAGTTAAACTCAGATCCTTGGAGCTGTCAAAGCCATGAATGACAATGATTTTGTACTTAGCCTCTTCCTTGGGAACTCCAGTCTCCTTATAAGCCAAATGTCTGCCATCACTGAGCTTAATTCTAGGTGACGTGACAGGAGGACCACCTGGCGACCCACATATATTTGGAGGGGGAGGCTTTAATGACCGATAAGCCCATCCTAGAAGACCTACTACCAAAGCCACTGCTATAGGTGCAAACATTGCTGCAATAGGAAAATTACTAAGCATATCTACAATATAAAAAATTTAGAAAATTTTATACTAGGTTAATCTCAGAAAACTATAATAATATGATGAAACAGAATTAAACACCAAATTCTCTCCTGTTACTGGAGATTTGAAAGCTATACAATACAGTTCATAGCTAAACATTCTTCTAGAGCAATAAATAATATCATATTCCAGACTGTAAGTAAAGGAAATAGACGATTGATCAAACTTTAGAACCATAGATGATGAGAAAAGGCCCCCCTGAGTTGAAACTTTTGCTCATATACAAGCCAGATTAGTCAGTACATCCAGCGGAGCAGCAGCTCACAAAATAAATCTCATGTTTAGAAAACTAAAGATCCCCAGATACCAGAACAAAAAAGAACAACCAAAAAGATCGACTATTTTATCAAGAAAGAAGAAGAAGAAGAAGAAGAAGAGAAAAGAAAAACCCACCAGGAGGAAGTGGAGAAGAACTGGGTCTGGCTTTGTTAGTTCTAGTGTGAGCTCTGACAGATGCAACTATACCTTCTTCTTGAACAGACCCAAGTGGAAGAAATCTAACCCACAGACTCACCAAAGAAAGTGACAAACGATTCCAACAACCAGCAACGTGCTCTCTGTTTCCCAACTTTGTTTTTTAAAGAGTGGACCAGTCGGTTTGAACCTTGAAGCCTGTGCAAAGTTTTCATCTTCATGGTGAAACCGATCATCTTTATCCAGAGGAAAAATCCAATCTTTTCACTTTCATGGGTGAGTTTTTTTCAGGGGGAGGCTTTTGAAAAGTTGCCAGTTTTATTACTTTCTAGTTTCTACCATCATCACTTTCATGGGTGAGTTTTTTCCAGGGGAGGCTTTTGAAAAGTTGCCAATTGTATCACTTTCTATCGTCATCATTGCAAGTTACAATTTTGAATGCGGACAAAAACTTGGGTCTTCAATCAAGGCCCCAAAATTTAGTTGTCCTTATCGTCACAAAAAAACGTGTTGTCCTTCTTTGCAAATAATGGAACTTTTATTTTGAGTTTGGACTTAGGAGAACCTGCAAGCCCAGTTCAATATCCAAATGGCACAATGGACCTGATCTAGCCCAAGGTTGAGCCAACTCAACTCGGCCCAACTGAGATTGACCCAAAGAGTCGAAATATCTCCCCCTCACACAAATCCGAAAACCTTCTATTTTCAGTCAGAAGTAAAATCCCAACGGTCAGAAAATGCCCGTTCTCTCTGCGCAACCTCCGACGACCGAAATGGCCCTCCTCGCCGGTGGTGCCTCTTTTCGAAGTCTCGACGTTCTCTCCCGGCGTCCCGGTATTGTAATCAGTTCGAATTCCTCTTTCGATTTCATTTGGATATTCATCGATAAAAGTTTTGTTTGATTATTTAAGAATTTGATCTGATTTTGTTTATTTTCCCCTCGATAATTCGGTAGATGGGCAAATACTAGGGTTTAATCGCTAAATCTGAAGAAATTTTGATTGGAAATCGATGATGGAGCTGCGCTTCTATGTTATTTTCTATCGTTTGATATGATTTTAGACACATTTATGCTGCTAACTTGTTGCTATAAGTTCCTGGTATTTACAGATCTACAATAGAGGGTTTGTTAAACGTTTGTTTCACACCATTTTCTAAGGTTTCCGTCAGGCTTCAGTAACTCTGCAAGAAAACAGAGATGGTTCAACAAGATATATGTATTTTCAGGTAAATTATGTATCACTTGAAGGATTTGATTCATAATCTATGAGATATAAATTAAATTAATTCTTTTTAGTGTTCATTTTAGTAATGGGTTCATTTGCTGGGTATCCCTTAACTCAAACTTGGTATCAGTACCTCTATCATGTTAGAAATCTTCTTTCACTTTAGTAATGGACTAATAACTTAATTTCGTGAGTGCTGGGTTATTGTTGTGTCTATTATCTTGGGGTAAAGATGTTAATGACCCTTTATTGACCCTATTGCTCTTAGCTTCACTAATTCAATGATTTTTTTTTTTTACTACCTTTTTGATTGTCTGAATTCTGCATGTGAGTTTATCTATTCACTTTGCAATGTAGGACAGAAACTTGTAAACAGAGCAAAGTAGCAAACTAATGACACTTGGGGATAACCTAAATTGGGTTTTTATGTTTTATTGTGGTTTTACCTTGTTCATTCTCTCTGCCTTCTTGATAATTATAATAACAATAAATATAACCAACCCAAAGTGCAAATTCAAAGGTAGTTTCCTAATAAACAGAAAAGCTGTTCACAATGCCTTTTTTCCCAAAATTTTATTAGTCATTTTTATGTCTAACATGTAAAAACAGTTTTGCTTATGAGAACCTTCATTTGGATTCAAATGGGGAAACTCTTCTTGGCTATAATTGTGTTTTTCCTTCATTTTGTATCATTTTCTTCTGCATTTAATAGATCTTCTATTTTTAATTTGCAGGAAGTTTCTGGAATTTTTAAAGATCTTTCTACATGTTACAACATTTTTGCATTCTAATTTTTTTTCTCTATAGTTTAAATTTTAGAAAGGACATTCTGCTGTTCAGTGTCTCATACCTTTTTCTGCATGTGACATTTAATTATATATGAAATATGATTGCTGCCACATTTTCATCACCTTTTCAGCTTAGTTTTGGCTTTACATATTCTGTGACTTTTTGTCTTGATACCAATTGATGGGTCCTGAAACACATTGGTTGTCTTCAACAGGATCTAATGTAGTAATAAGCTTAAATTCTTTTTGTCCCATTGCTATCCTCTAGATTATTTATATGATGTTGGGTTTTGTTTTGCTTATCAATATCAGCTCAAAGTCGTTGATTGGAACCTGTTTGTTGCTGGGAGCTTTTAGTTTCAGTTAAAATGATTTTATTTGTTTTAGGTGGTATGTTTCAAATGCCTTTATTTTTTGGCCAGACTAAAGGAAATGCATTACAATTTAAAAATTGGTTGTTATTTTAAGTCAATTTATGAATTATGGTATGTTTCTTATCCGTTATCTTTAATTCGATTACTTATTAATGAGGTCCATTGTTTTGGTTTATTTGTGTGATTCACCTCATCTGTGAAGAGATGACCTACATGAAGTCAAATGGGTATTTTGGCCCAAATCGTTAATAATACTCATGATCTCTTTCTCATTTTTTCCCTATGTTGTCCTTTTATATTCTTTTATCATCAATTGTATGATTCAATTTGTGGATCAAAATTTGTTTTGTATTTAATTTTATACAAAGTCATCACTTCACAACACATACAACACTCAACATGCAAAGTAATGTCATGTCACTGGATGGAATGAATTTTAAATACTAAAAGGATAACATGCATGCTGAGTAACGTCACTACATGAGAATGATATACGTAAGATTTAATAATTTGTGTAAAAGATGATACAACCACCCAAGTGTAACAAGCATGTTGTTTAATTTCACTGCATGGTAATGGTATAAGATGCAATAAGCCAAGTTCAAGGGATGATATAACTGCACAAGGGATAACAACTCTTTAGAATAATCTACTGATCTCTTCGATGTAGATTGAGAACTTTATCGTGAGAAAGATGTTTGTAGACAGTGGAGGTGCACATGCTATTCTATGCTATCACATATTCAGGAAGTATAGGCTTTATGAAATTTGGTTGTAGAAATGCAGTGGGTGAATCTACTGATTTAGCAACATGTTCGTCTCAATTGGAAGAGTTGTTTCCTTGCTAGTGATCCTGGGATTGTCTGCTTGTTGTGTTGCCACATTGTTAAGGTTCTGGTTGTCGAGACTGGCAGGGATTGCAGTATTTTCCTTGGCAAATCTACCCTTAACTACATGACAGGTATATTCATATAATCTTCATTTGAAACTTGAGATCTATTTGGTATCACCTTAATTTTTTTGGTTTCTTTGTTTTTCATTTTTGTTTCCATATTCAAATCAGTGATTTTTGGTTTTCTGTATTTCATTTTTGTTTTCATATTTCAACCTGTGAATTTTTGGTTTTTCTGTTTTACATTTCAATTTGTTCTTTGATTTCAAAAATAGAAACCATTGGAAAACCATTTTTGTTTCGGTTGTTGAAAAAATATCCTTTTAGTATATTATTATGTGTCACGTCTTATTTTTACATGTTATTTATATTTTCTTTATTTGATGTTTCATTTATTTTTGTTGTATTTTGTTATTCTTTATATATTTATAGATTTCAAAGTATCTTAATGATGAATATTTTTCTGCCTCCATTTATATTAAAATGATATTAAGGACTACAATATACGGTTGAATAATATAATAGTATCATAGGAAAGAAATTATATTTTTTTTTATTGTATATGTCAAATACAAATGCATATATAAAATGATCATCCAGGTATGTAATAATAACTATGGATTAAATAATGGTTGTATTTTCATGTATAATGTACACATTCTTGCAGCCACATTATCTTTTAACTGTTTTACATCCTTTCATTCCTTTTTTTTGGAATGTAATTCTATTAAGATTTCAAAATCTATTTTATATATTTTTTTTCTCTTTGAAACTTTAATAAGAGAAACAACATACAATAATGTGCCAACTTCGGTTTTAAGTTCCCATTTTTTATTTTTAATTTTGCTTTGAAGTTTTTTTTTTTTTTTTCCTTTTAATTTCTTAATAAGCCTTTTACGGTGATACCAAATGATTCTCCAAGTTTCCAACTCCTATCTCATTAAGAGTTTGGAGACGAAAGTTTCAAATGAAGTTATGGAAAATATACCTTTGATGGAGTTTGGGCAAGGCATGCAAGGGAGAAATATTGTAAGCGATGCCAATAATCTTGATGATAACACCTTATTGTGGTGACTTGACCAAGTGAGATTCCCATGTTCCCTACGAGGAGATAACCCTCTCAATTGGGATTCATATGTTTGTTAAACCTGTTGAGTCGGTCATTGTAATTCTTTACAACCTAGTTTCATCAAGTCACAAACTTACCAATGTGTGATAGAAAGAATATCAAATGTACTCTCACAAAATACAAACTCCCCTTCTGCGTTAAAGTTTTTAATCCAGTGGAAATTAGTAGATTGTTCTACAGAATTGTGTCCTTTCAGGGCAAAACCCCATAGATTGCCCTTTAACTTTTCGAATGTGTGGAATTTTACCCTTCACTTTATAATATGTAATTTTGTACCCTCTTGATATGATTTTTATAACCTTTTGGTATTTGCGTGTGTGGAACTTTATTTCTTACCTTACAACTTTACAACTTTAAGAGAGTATGACATCATAAACTTGAATATCATGAGGATATAAAATCATAAACTTGAATATCATGATAGTATAAAATCATATATTGTAAAGTGAGGAGTAAAGTTTTACATACTCAAAAAATGAAAAAGCAATATGTGGGTTTTTGTCGTTCTTTTAGAGGTTATATCTTAAATCTTTGATTGGGAATCTTAACTTTTTATTTTTTAATATATTAGATGATGGATTATATAATAAGATTAATCTTTTTATTCTCTTAATTCTTTTTATTCATCTCAATATTCAAATTCAAGATTTTTAATTTAAAATCTCAAGTTTTTAATTACTTGATACATTTCTAGATGGCAACCTTTGTTTACAGAATGAGTCCTATTCTGATGCAAAGTCATGTGCATATGATTTTTACAGGGTGAAATTGCATATGATTTTTACAAGGTTTTGCTGGTGGAAGTCTCAAGCCCAAGTGAGTGAAGAAGAGCCCTTTAAAAGAAGAAACAGTTATTCCTAATTGTATAGTGGATAATGAAATGTAAAGAATAAAAATATAAAAGGAAAAGCGAACTGTATACTACTTTTTTAAAATAATTATTAAATAATAATATAATTTTTGTAACAGAAGAATTCTTGAAAAATCACAGTTATAAAGCCACGTACACCATATATCAAATCCAAAACGCAGCACTTTGCTTGGGAGAAGGTTTTTTAACAGGGCTTGACGCCAGGCTGGATTGTTGGACTTGAATCTCAGTGGCCCACTTCTTTTGGGTGAATATGATTTTTCCCTTGACCAAGAAAATCTTAAAAGGGAGGCCCAAAGAAAAATTGAAAATTTTAAAATGTTATCATTTTTGGATGATAAAAAAAGAGCCTTTTCTTAAGTTAAAAATTCCAAATTATATAAATTTAATAGTACTCTTTTTTGGAACGAATATAACATCGTTTTTTAGATGTTTAGAAGATAGGAGCGAATGAATTGTTTCTTTAAGATTGGATGTAATTGCATTTTTACCACGATTGTAAAAATCTCATCTTGTTCTTTCTCAGTAATATTATATTGTTCTAATTGGTTTTGAAGTTGTGGTATGTCATGTTCTTATATCTTTTATACTGTTCAAAAAAGTAATACCTTATTGTTTCCATGATATGTTTTCTTACTAGTTCTACAATGAGAAATAATTCGTTATGACTTGAATTCTAAAATCTTTAAATTTAAATTTGAATAGAGGACTAAATAATAATCTCCATTATACATATATATACATATATATTTCAAATGACTAAAAATGCTATTGCCCTATGATTTTTTAAATATATGTGTATTTTTTTTATTAAATTAAGAAAAAAAAAATTATGTAATCTAAACTGCACAATACTAATCATTGGACGAGGGATGAGCTTTTGAGAAGTCTTCTTTCCAGTGACTTTTATTTTGCTATTTATTACAATTCAAACTGTAAATTGAACTGCAAAACAAGATACTCTAAATCAAATTAAATATGTGTATTAATAGTTAGCATCACAAATGATAACATTTTAAATGAGTAACTAAAAAGTTTGCATTCTTTCAACAATTATTCCATTGAAAAGTGAAAAAAAAAAAGAAAAAAAAAAAAAGGCAGGCCCACAGCATCACACTTCACATCCATATGTCGATTTAGTACGCTATTAATTCCAATAACCTAAGACCTACAAATTATATACGATGGCCATGGGAACCCTCAGTCTCAAACGAAATTTGCCCTTTCATAATTCATCACATCTTTGTTTTCATATCTTTTATATACATATTCAAGAGTTATAAAAAAGGAGACGTTAGAATTACTTTTATTAGTTGAAGATGGATTCATGAAAATTTATAACAAAATTAAATTGGTGTGTGTTTTCATCAATAAAATAAATTATTTATTAATGAAAGAGTATTAGTGGCACTCAAACCCTTATTAGTATTTAACATATTGATATGTGTTTTTGCTTTGGATGGAAGGGGATTCTAGATCATCAAAAGAATGACAGAACGACAAAAATAGTTGGAAGAGTCAAGAGTTCACATTATCCAGGGTGGAATATGAAGAGAGAAGTAGAGGAGTTTCCAATTTAGGAAACCCACCTCTCCAATTTCCAAATAAAGTAAGCAAAAATGAATCCCTTTTTTTTGAAATGACACTCACCCACTGGCCCGCTTTATTTGTGGCACATATTAATCTAAATGATGGGTGGAGAATGCAGATCGGAGTGGCTTTATACCTCCCAAACCTTCCTTAAAATATCACTAAAATTGGCAGTCTTTTGATCAAAGTGAATTAATGGTTTTAGATTGGGAAGGTTCTAAGGCAAGTTTCTTTCCCTTAATGCAAAAGGCTCTGAGTCTCTCCTCAGCTTCAGAATGTCGAAGCAGGATCTGCCAATTAAAATTCTTTCTGTCCTTACTTTATCATAAAAAATTGTGTAGGAAAATGAGAAACTGATCATCAAATGTGGACAGCCTCAAAGATAAAGTACACTCGTCAATAAAATAAGACTTTCTCTTTCTTGTATTCTGTTTCTGCCCTAATCACTTTCTTCATCTTCCTTTTTTTTTTATCCTTGATCATGAAGAGAAGCCATTGGTATGTTGCCCTAAATGAGCATGCATGAAGCCCTTCAAAGTAGTTAAGATAAGCAAAATTTACCCAAAGAATTGGATTTTCTTTCAATATTAAGGATGAAAATGCTTGAGATACACTTGTAAAAGAAATTCAACTTTGATCATGAAGAGGAAGCCTTTGATTTTATGACTTTGATTGAGATACAATTGTTAGAGAAATTCAACTTTTCTTCAATCCCATAAGCATATGATGAGAAAATGATGAGTTTCTCAATGCTTAATAAGAAACCATTTACTTAAATTGATTAACAATAGTTTTTAATTTGAGTTGGGAAAGGAATAGTTTCAAATTAAAAACATGTGCATTTTTGAAATGTATGAATGAATATGGAACGATAGAAGCCATATATACATGCTAAGTTTAAATTAGAAGGATCAATCCATTCTTATTTACATAATGGTATCAACATAAAATATTTTTACAAAACTGAATTCACAAACTTTCGATTATCTTTTTCATATAAAAGATAATGACTTAGCTTTTATAAACTAATTATATAGCCCTAGAGTAGGCTTTGAAGTAGCCACAATCTTTGTCCTAGCATGATAGATAGCCATGAACAAAACGTTTCTTGAAACTCCACTTCCTCACACCTTTTCTCCTCAGTTCAGCAGCTTGAAGAGTCCTTCTGAGTGCTATATATATGGGCATCTCCACTCCATTGCACAATAAGAAACCTTCCATTTCCAAATTAATAAGCATTAGAGCATAAAATTATCCACTCTCTTCCATTGTTGGTATTACTTTTCCTCTGCTATTTTCTCTCATGGCCAGACTGTCAGATCCTCTTTTGGTTGGGAGAGTCATTGGAGATGTCATTGATTCTTTCACTCCATCTGTCACAATGAGTGTCACTTACAACTCCAACAAGCAGGTATACAATGGTCATGAATTTTTCCCTTCCTCAGTTACCCAGAAACCCAAGGTTGAAGTTAATGGAGGTGACATGAGATCTTTCTTCACTCTGGTACTACTAAACTCTCCTCTTCAAAACTTCTTTCTTCCTTTGCTTTCATATTGGGACATGTATGTATTTTGTTCTTTTTTGCTTCATTGATGTTGCAGGTTATGACTGACCCAGATGTTCCTGGTCCCAGTGACCCATACCTGAGGGAGCACTTGCACTGGTAATATATGCCCATATATCTCCTTATTATAAAACCATAAAAAAAAACAAGGTGTTGCTTTTATGGTTTAATCAAGGAATAATCATTCTTCCTAGGACATTAATTTTGGGATTTTATTCACATTAACGTATGCAATACCCAAGTACCTTTTTTATTTTTCAAAAATGAAATGCAAATCTAGATGCTAGGGGGCAAAAATAATGAATGGAAGTTTTAACCAAACAAAGAAAAAGAGTTAATCCACTGGGAAAAGACTACATTCTGCAAAACTAATTATTTCAACTTGATTTTGACTATTTCCCAGGGTTGTAACAGACATCCCAGGCACCACGGATGCTACATTTGGTAAGTCCACAGTCCCCTTCATCTAGAAAATTATTTAATAAAAAAATGGGTTTTCTGAAGTTTTATATATCTTATTAAATTGAAAAAAAAAAAAAAATAGGGAAGGAAGTGGTGAGCTATGAGATGCCAAGGCCAAACATAGGGATACACAGGTTTGTGTTCGTGCTGTTCAAGCAGAATAGGAGGCAGACACTGATGAACACTCCTACGACTAGGGATGGATTCAGCACTAGGAAGTTTGCAGAAGAAAATGATTTGGGTCTTCCTGTGGCTGCTGTTTACTTCAATGCTCAAAGGGAAACAGCTGCTAGAAGACGCTAATGGAAGTACTGATGAGGCTATTCAAGCCTGCTACTCTCTGAATCAGTGTGGACCATAACCCAAAAAACATGTTTAAGTGTTGTGTGCATGTACAATATGTTTGGAGTTTAGTGTGGAATAATTAACTAGAATAAATCCTGTGAGATCTGAGTGCATTAATTTGACAGGAAATAACCTATGGTACTAGCCGACGTATTTGGTTTGCATCTTTTGCATGTAACCCTGTTGTTGTAGCCGTTGTATCAGTACTTTACATGGTAATGCTACTTTGAAATATTTTAGGTTTTTTTTTTATTTATTTATTTAACAACCAAGGTGTTTTAGGTCAGTTTTGTACAAGTTGAGATTAATTTTTCGTTGAGTAATCTTAAGGATGCACCCCCTATATCAGTTGGTACATTTAAAAAAATTAATTTTTTTGGGTGCTGACCCCAAGAGTTGTAGGCCAAGTCCATGAAACAAACAGCTATTGAGACAACAATTTCCTTTGAAATTTGTATACCAATAAGACCCATAATATGAAGAGAAACCCTCCATTTTCCATTTTCTCTTCCAGTAAAGAGCATAGAATTTCGAGTTGATCAAGTAAAGAGAATGCCAGGGTAGGTTTGTAATTTCTTCCATAAAAGAAAAGAATCCTCAAACTTAATTTCCAGTTTCTCATGCTGCAAAGAAAATCATTCCACTCCACATATTTTTTACATTGCAAACTTAGTAGAAACCAGCTCACTTTCTGCATTGAAACTGTAAGAATGAAAGACGGACTGTAACAATTCAAGAAAAAGTAGTGGTGCATAATTATATAAGCAAAAAGGCGCTTGTCTTATATCAGATGATCAGTAGCATTGATGCCTCTGGAAATCGTATCTCTGCATTATTGATTGCGTGACACTGGACTCTGATATTTCATTAATCTGAAATTCATGGCCTATTCTTTAATCCAAATTAAAAAAGGAACATAAACAGTGAGACTCTCTGCCCTTTTTTTATTTTCGTAGAAATTAACCATTTTGAGGTAAATATGGATGGCATTATGTTTCTTTTTTTTCTTTTTTTTTTTCTTTGGGTAGAGAGAATGGGAAACTGAAGGTTGTCCTTTAGGCTAGATCTCTGGTCCTTTGACTCAGTGAAGAACATCAATAAAAAGTCATTCATGTCTTCTGTTCTAACTTTCATTGCAGTTGCAGGTAGTGTCCCCTGCTCTTTTCCTCTTAGGAACCAGCTAGCCTTAGCCTGTAACATCGATTCTTGCATGAGGATTAAAATTAAAAATGTTCAAACATTTGGTTCCAAAATGTTTTCAAACATAAATGATGGTAATAACTTGGCATCAGGAGCTGACTTGGGCAAGTGCACTGAAAGGTCATGTTTGGTTGGTGACAATGGTTATATCTTGACCGAACTATAGAAACAAGTTATATTTGGAAAAAATTCTTAAGAATCTAGTAATAGCTAAGCATTAATGTTGATAATATGTATTCTTTCTATTTTTTTAAGGATGACATATTTCTTGATTCTTTACTAATGTAAAAAGAAAATTAGATATTAAAACTTACTTAGCCATTCTTAACTCTCTATTGAAGTTTTCGACCAAGGAATAGCTACTATCATAAACCAAACAAGCCCAAAATGTCGATTCCTTAATTTCTTTTTTTGATCTTTTATTTCTAATCCCACCTTACTTACATGATTCAGTGACTTATCGTCCAAAATCTCTTATTTCTAAAAAAGAAAAGAGTAAATCATGGAAGTAGAGACTCTATTTAAGTTATCCTCAAGCTACTTATTTTGATTTTTTTTTTTTCTGGTAATCAAAATGAGTGGTAGCTTTTATATTATTGTCTTTTGATAAAATTAACATATGTATTAGCCGAAGCACAATCAAAAATGTTTAGAGATATGAGATGATATGTTGATAAGATAATTATAATGTAATTTAGTATAATTCCTAAGGAACATACAGAAAGAATGAATACCATTAATATCAAATTTGAAAGGAGATAGAACCCTTTTTCTTTTTCTTTTTCTTTTTTTTTTTTAATTATGGAGGTGAGAACAATTTTCTTCCAAAAGAGGAGAAGCATTTTTCTTTTTCCGGTACGAGATGGGATAAGGGACACCGAACCTTGTTCAAATCAAGTCAGGGATGCCGTTCAAAAAAAAAAAAAAAACTCAAGTCAGGGTTCTTCCAACCACTAAGCCACAATGTGAGATGTAAATAAGAACATTTGAAACAGAATGATTAACATCATCAGAAGCAGAACATCTAATAACGATGGTTCTTCCCCTTTCATCTTTTCCAAAATCCTCCCATTTTGTCTCATTATTAAAACTCAAAATCTTTAATAATAATAATAAACCTCTACACCAAATAGAATCTTAATAAAAAAAAAATTATGCACTAAACTACAAAGAAGAAGGAAAATTCAATGAATTACAGGGATTGACTATATGATGGATGGGATTCTCAAAACTCCCTTTATTTTTGGCATAAACTCATAGAAAGTGGAAGGCATAATTTTCAAACATGCATGTTTGAGATGAAGAAGAGGGGCAGCTGTATGGATTATATGAATTACTAATGTTGAAGCATCAAATGCTAGTAAAAAGTAACTAAAACAATGGGGATAGTTCTTGATAGAAAATATAATGGAAGAAAAATATATGGAATCCAAACTCATTGCTTCTTACTGAGACAGCAAAGATGATGCAGAAGCATATAATTTGGACCACAGGAAAGTGAGTGGCCACTGAATCTCCCCACAGCCAACTTAAAAGAGGCATTTTGGGATTGATTGGCTAGCAAAAATATGTGGACTTTTTCTCAATCTCTTTCTAATCTTGGAATTTAAAATCAAAGTACCCTCTAGATTCCTTAAACTTATCATTTAGATTTTGGACCACAACTACGTAGGAGTACATATGTACCTCGATCAGTTCTTATCGTTCTTGAATCTTGTGTATTGTCGTCGGCTTTTTGGGGAGCGCAAAGGGTAATACCCTCTCTCTCTCTCTTCCTCTTCTTTTTAACCAAAGAATTTGAGGAACCCATCACCCATATTACTGCATGCCTTTCTCACAGTAGAGAGTGTTTCATGTTGTTTTATATATATATATATATATATATATATATATTCAATGTATTGGTGAAAAGTATAGCAGTTCACCTTTACTTATTTACTGTTCAAGTTTTGCACATTACTAGTATTTTAAAAAATTTTAATTGTTCTTTAATACATTATGTTGATATAAAATGCATCTTTACGATCAAAATAATATATATGATTCAAAACATATTATATAATTCAAAAGTTAATTATTTAATATTATATAAATTTGAATTCCGGGCTTGGACTACTAATTATGGTTCTTAATTTAGTAAATTTCAATTCAACCAAACTCTTATTAATTTTTATGTTTCTCTAACTTAATTGATTATTTTGAGCCAATAAGTTTAATAATCTCATTCTTGTAAAAGTAAGAGATTTTGTCCCGTGAGATATGAGTGATGTAAATTAATGAATTAGAAAATTTTGCCTTTCATTATAAACCGAAAAATATTATTTAGAACTTGATCAAATTAATATTTATTAATTTAAAATTTTTTATTTATAATCTAAATCAAATGTTCAAATCTCTATACTATCAAACAGTTATACCAAAAAATAAACCCAAAATAAAAATAAAAAATAAAAAAAGTAAATTTTAAAAAGTAATTAAAAAAAAAAAAAACTGACCATTAAACAAATGATCATCGGTGTTTTGGGTCGCCACCCAGCGAGCTTCTATGTATTTTAGTCCAACTTCTAAGAGAAACAGTCCATGGGCCTTTTGTTATGGCTCAGACTGCATTGCATAAGGGATGAAAAAGAAAGCCCATGCCTATACTCTCCTTAAAAGGAGTTTGCCCATTTCGTTCCCAACCACCCCTCCACAACCCCCTCCTCCCTCCTCTCCTTTTTTTGATATTTTGACTCTAACAGTTTGTTTGGATAAAAATTAGTAAAAGAAAGAGAACAGAGTAGAAGGAAAGGAAAGGAAAGGAAAGGAAGAAGTGAAGGGAAGAAAATGGTGGATATTAATCTTGTTTGTATAGATAAAAATAGAGGAGAGGAAAATAAAACATTTTTATTTAATTAAATAATTTAAAGAAAAATAAAATAATATAAAATATTTAAAATTTACTAATTAAAATAAAATATTTTTATATATTTATTTACTAAGAATATTTAAAAATATTAAATATGTAAATCAAATCCATTTCAATTCCTTTAATTTGGAAGAATGGAAAATAGAGGAGTGGAGAGGGTTTTATCACCCCTTTGGCTCCCTCCCTCTCCATTAATGAAGAAAAACAAAGAAAGTAAGGGAGACATTTGCCACTCCCTGTCCCCCACTCCCCCTCCAACTCTAACAATCCAAATAGAGGCTAAGGAAATTCAAAATTAGCTTCCGGATGATACATATTTCTTTTGATATTTTGAAATTAATTTTTTTTTTAAACAAAACTACCCTCCAACTTGATCTATAACGCATGACTTGACTCTTTTTTTTAGTAGTTAGGGTATCTTTGAATTAATTTACACACAACTTGAGACTAGTCTTTTTTTGATCTAATCAAAAGCAGATTATTCATATCAAAACTTGGTAATTCATGAGGAATTTCCTCCTCATTAGCTTCTCCAAGTGAATCTTGATCAAGAAAATGAAAAATAAACTTTCTTACCAATTAAATCACAACTCTTTAGATATAACTCGACTATTACTTGACTAAAATTAGATGCCTTATTTCTCTTCTACAAATGTTATGACACAAACACCACGCGTACAAAAAGAGTTTGGTGGTAGACTAAAGTCAAGCCAATTACCTGGTTGCAAAATTTGATTGGTTGATACTTAGAAGAAAATTGTGTCTTCTAACTTGGTATAGTTAATTTGGGATCTAATGTAGAGGTAATGATGATAATTTAGAGTATGTGATGTCTTAAAAAGAGACCTTTTGGAGTCAAATTTCAGACAAACAACAGTGAAGTCCCTTGGATTTTCTACTTTCTGCCCTTGTCAGGTGTTGAAATTATACCCAAGGTTTGGTATTCTCCCATTTGGAACCCTAACCCCCAAAAACTGCCATGTACCATACCCAAGTCAA